CAGTTTTCTCTATAAAATTAATTTCACACTTTTTTCCTCCGATTTTTTTAAAAAACATTTCTGGCTTTGCTGTTACAGAATTGGTAGGGGTAATATTTCTTTAGCATTTTAGACATTGAAGCTTGGAAAGATTTTAAGACGAATTTATAGACCCACGATTCTAAAAGATTCCAGAAAATGTGATAGAATGAAAAATGTCTCCTTGGTAGTAACACGCAGTTTCTTACATTTTGGAGGACACCTGGAAGAAGAATGAAAACATAATAGTTGATGTTTTACTTCTGATTCTAAAATCGCTATCTTAACATATTTATCTTCCCTTTATTTTCTCTACTTTTCACTAGATACAAGCAAAAGTACTTCTAATCTTATCATATGGGCAGGCATTATAGAAAATTTCTTTATTAATAAAGAAATTGAAAACTGGCAATTCAAAAGATTCATCTAATATGTCTTAATGCATCATACACGGAGCTGGCACTAGACATTTTGCCACCTGATGCAGTCTCTGTGGATCCTAAATTCTGCTGCTTGGTGCCTTTCTAAATTCTGCTTCCAATGCCTGCTCTAAATTCATCCCTAAATTCTAAAAATTATGCCACACCAGCTCTGTAACCAGACTTTACCATATGTGTTTCATATTTCTTCTGAATGTTCGTATTACTAAAGAAATAAAATTAGCAGCTTTTTCCATACATTCTAAATGCATTTAGTCTTTTAGAATAACAGAAGTCTTTAATTAAATCCCCAAAATTTAAAGTGAAAAGGAAACATGTTAAAGAAACTAAATATGTAAAGAGAAAGAAAATTATTCTTCAAAGATATTTACAGTTGTTATTATTATGTAAATTACCCATTTATTTACAGTTTCAGCCTTCACTATAATTTCCCATTTCTATTTCCTCACCAGAATGCAAATCACTTAGACAGTTTTTGGAGTGTAAGACGAGTGTGTTTCTGACCTCCACTTGCTCCCTGCATTAGTTCTGTCAGCTCTGATAATTTGTAATTATTAGTCTTTCCATTACTGCTGCTGATATTTGAGTTTATTATGACAATAGAGTTACTGAACCAGATTAAATTGAAATTAAATTGTATAGTCTTTGACCCCTAGTCCATATTTTTAGTTTGAATTTGACTCTTGTTTAATTATATCACCACAAACTGTAATTGATTTTGTTAAATTTATTATGTGATTTATAGTTACTTTCAGACATAGTGATATTTTGTTTCACGTCTGTCGGAGGGGGGGTCGGACTATTTAATTTTTACCAGATCAAGTAAACCCTCATAGGTAGTACATTGTGGAGAGGTTGGCAGTTAGGAGATAAAACACGCAGAAACTAATGAGAACATTGTTTTGCATATTGAGCAAATTTCTAATTGTTAGAAAACATGCTTAAGGAGAAGGAAATCAATATAAATTAGCCAAAATGTCTGGGCAGGCCTTCAAATTAAAAAGACACATAATTATTTGTTGAATTTTACGTTTTGTAGCTTTTAATGTGTAATTATCATAATATTGTTTAAAAAATCAATGTCATAAATTGCATGTATTTTAAACTGTGAAATTTTATGAGATTGTGATATTAATAGGGGTTTTTATCAATTATTATTAAAAAATTAATTTAATTTAATAGTGGCCATGTAAATCCATAATGACTAAGGTTATCTAATACCTAATTTAATTATAACTAAATGCATTCACTTAAAAATTATCTCTATATTAAAGCAAGTAATTGCCTTTCGTTAACACGCTGAGCCCGGCATCGGTCCCTGGGAACTTGCACTGGAATTTTCTTTTGGTTGGCGTTGGTCCGTGGGACCAACAGTAGTAAAGTTAAAAATATGTATAGTCTCAATGAAATGTTATCAAATGTAGTTTTAATGAAATTTATTGAAACATTCTAAACAAAAATACGGCTTAGCGTTACACATATTACAATACGAAACAACTATTTTTTAACATTTTTGGCTATCTTGCATCCAAATAGTTTTGAATTGTCATCATAACATTTCAAACAATATTTTCGGACTTTATGTGTGTCTCCTTCCTTTTTGTATAATTTATGAATAATTTAAGTCAGCAATATTGCACCGCTTGATCGCAATATTGCCTTCGGCTGAACGGAAAGGACAGCAAATTCGGCGGTGGGCTCAACGTGTTAAACCTTTACCGTGGTCACAAAGTAAAACACAAAAATATAAAAATTCATGTTGCATCTAGTGAGACTTAATGCAAAACTAATTAATTATCAATGCTAATGCTTTAGTGGCTTAAGTATATTAACTGAGTTACAACCCCTGGAACTCTACACGAAGCTACAACACTAACAGCGTCATACAGAGGTCAGCTAACTTTCAAAACTTGCTAACTGTGCCTACATCAGGCCTTTCAGGTTTGTTCTGATCAGCAGGTTTCACTATAGGCAAGCAGAAGCGGTGACAACAGCCAGTCTTTTGTTATGAATCATACTGATTATGATTTTAATGCTCATTTTAACCTATGCTGCTTGACATAAAATCTACTTACTATTTACTGAACTTCTAGACTGAGCAAGTATGTGACAAAATGAGACATTAAAAAAAAAAAAAAAAAAAAAAGCTGTTAGTAAAACGTAACTAAAATGTCACTTATCTTCTTTCAAATGTCCAGTTATTATGAGTAAAATATTTAATGCTACTTGATAAATTTCCTAAAATTAATTTTATTCTCAAACATATTAATAATTATATTAATTAAGTTATGTTTAATAATAATGCATGCTACTTGCATTCAGGCATAGATGTAATATTTTAATTGAATTTATTCAGTTCCCATTTGTTCATAGGTCCTTAATATTTTTCATTAATGGTCCTTAAAAGTACTTAATTTCCTTGTGCAGAAATGTGTACGAACCCTGGGACCAGCAGGGTTTATATAGCTTTCGGCTTGTGTTCGAGAACATTCTGGGCTAAACCGGTAAGAATTCGTTCCAGAAGGTTCTCCAACCGTCCATGGTATATCACCAATTTTGTCGCCAAATGGATGATTTCTCGCCAAATGTGGCAACCCTGCTTTCCCTTGCCATTTTATGGCATCCCTAAAATTTGTGGGGAAGACATCTTACTGTGCCTGTACATTTCGTAACAATATGAACATGTTAACAACTGCACAGAGGGCTGTGTTTTATTGTGCACTGGGTTTTTATTTATATTTTGACAGAAAAGTTAAGACTTCAGTGTGTAGTGTGCAAAAAAGTTCCTCAAAAGCACAAAAAAGTTAACTTACGAATGCAAAATTTACAATGGTGGACTTTGTCCCGAAAAGTTTTGAAATGTATCATGAGTTTCAAAATTTGTAAATATTATTTAATAATTCTCTCACATTTATCTTATATTTTGTTATACTTATTTTCTAATATTTTTACCTATATTTTGAATACTCGTATGCAAGTTTATAATATTATGTCGCTTATGTACATTACAACTACATATAAATAGTTGACAATTATAGAAAAAAAATGAACGGGTCAATTTTTATATTCTTTAAAAAACTGCTAATCTAGCTGGTGGTAGGTAATTAGATTCTAATAGGACTTTATAAATGCAAACAGTTCATTTATTTTATCATATTTATGAAATTTATTTGGAACATAGTGTACTAGAAAGTTGTTTAAATTTTTATGAAATGTGCATCCTCTTTTTTTAATACCAAAAAAATTTTTTCGCAGTTTTTCAGATACTATCATAATAAACTGTAAATTTCATCATATTTAATTACAGCAATGATTTTAAATGGAATTATGCGTAATGGGGAAAATCTCCCAGTCCCTTGTATGTGTGTACTTTTGGAATGCTTCTTTCTCCTTTTATCAGTCCTGAAGGGGTTAAACGACCAATTATTTTCATTTTGGGCAATATATACAACTGGATTTGTAGAGTGATTTTAAATTTGCCTTAAATATCGATTTGCTATTTTGGTTGAATTTTGCCAGCAAAAGTGGACCTCTTGGCATATATATAAATTAGCTTATATTCAAAAACATATGTAAAACGTTTTTCAGGAAGGTAAAAAAAACTGGAAACCCCCCCCCACACACACACACACACACATTTTTTTTTTAGTTGATCATGAACAATTCACCAGTCGTGCAGTTTCAGGGATAAAAGCTAAAAATAAAGATCAGTTGTCTTAAATAATAAAAAGTTCATGTTTTAAATGAAATGCAGTAAATGCCTGAAATGCCTGTCTTCTGGGAGAAGCAAAGGAAGAATTATTGCAGTTTTTTACTTCACTTTTTTTTCTTTAGAAATGTAAATTTTCTGTTATCCCTCCCTTTACAAGTGTTAGTGTACTTGAAAAGTAAATAATGCAATGTAAAAGTCACTGCTTCCTTGTGAAAAATAAATATCACTTTATCCAATCCAGTGTAATTTTAAGCTCAATTGTTTTGTTTTCGAACAAAGAAATAGTTTTTATTATAAATAGTTGACAATTATAAGTTGGTTTTCCAAAATGAACAATTCCGCCAAGTTCCGTATTTCTTCCTAAAAACCCTGTCTTCTTTTTTCAATGGTTTAAATGCATATTTCATATGTAAATTTCTTTCATTTGCTGCCAGTAATAAGTAAGAATAACAAGCTATTACATATCCACAAAAATCTTTCAATTCTGTGTAAATGATCGAAATTCTAATCCCATTTTAACATCAGTTTTTTAAGAATTCATTTCCTTGTTTTTTTTTTTTTTTTTTTCCCTTCCTTCTATGTGTTGGTCAGTAGAGATGCTAAAATCTTCATTTGCTCCAATTAGAAACTAAAACCTGCTCGCTCGTTCTCGCATAGACATTTTATTTGTCAATATTTTCTCTACCACAGCCAAAGAGGAAAGGTTCTGTTAAACTTCGAAAATCATGGTTTCTGCAAATTTACTCACATTCAGTTAATTTGTATTTATTATCAATAGTTTCTTTATGAAAGTCTTGTATTATTATTTACTTTTTTCCTTTTTCTTGCAGATCTACAGTATCAGCACCCCAACAATCTTCATATTCCATCATCTAATCATATGGGAATGCCACCTCCAGGTCTGTGATATTGCCAAATGTTTTAGTCATTGTAACAAATCGCCTCCTATACAAGCATTGTGATATATTTGTAACTTAGTATATATAAAATGAAGTAAGGTTTATTTTTACAACACGTTCTTGTAATTTATCATAAGAGATTTGAGAGAAATAACTTAGTTTTGTTAATTAAAGTATTTTTCAAATATTTGCTGTTTTTCTTTGTGCTTTTCATTGTGTTTTGGTTAGTGATATTGGGGGGGGGGACTCTCCTTTATGATGGCAAATGCTTCAAATGTGACCTCTTCAGAAAGGTACCCAAACTCGTTGGGATTTCGGCATTTCCAGATTTGAGATTTTTCCAGATATCAGATCATCAGTTTAAATCTAATGTGTAAATTATGAAGTCAAAGGTATGAAAGAGTAGTAATTTATAAAACGATATATTTATGACATTAAGGGACTCAAAATTTACTAAGATAAAGCTCAAAATTTATTTATTTGCTTTATTAAAAATTTCTTTCAGTGTAAATTGTGTAATTTGCCTGCCCCTCTTTTTAAGCTAATATTTTCTCTTTAATTCCACAGATAGTCATTAATTCCTGTTTAGTTACATTCTCATTATAGCTAATCATTAATTCTTGTTCAGTTCAGTTGTTTATTGTTCAAGTCCTGTATTTACCTTGTCGAAAATTAATTCTAAATTGTCAATTGAAATTGTTTTATTCTCAACAATCTGTCTGCCACTTTTTTCTGTATTGTCAAAATACTTTCTGAATTAGAACCATACTACACATTTCACCATTTATTAATTGATTGATGACTGGGGCATTGTCATTGCAATGAAAAACTTGTTATATCATTTTCATTTATCAGCACTTCTCCACGTACCTTCACATATTTAAACTAATTGGAGTATTTCAGTTTCTGTTTGCAAAATCTGAAAATCTTCAAATTTACAGCTATCATCATAAAGCATAGCTAGCATCTGCTATATACTATTGGTGATGTATCATAAGATTAGCAACTAAAAACATATTGTTCCACAAAATTTTGTCTTCCTTCTATGAAATCTTCATTAGGTTAAGCCTGTATTGTATTAGTTTAGTTATTTATTATATTGCACTTGTATTTTCTGTACATGCTTAATCCTTATTCGAGTCCTGAATACATAGTTTCCTACACAGAGAGCATCCTGGATAAGCTTAAGACTTATCCAGGATGCTGTCTGTGTGGGATCAAAATTTTGCTGCTAAGCCCCTTCCTAAATTAAAAGAATTTTGCTGCTTGTAAATTTTGCATCCCAGCGTCTTTCCTAAATTCTAAAAATTTTGCCTTCCCTAAATTCTGCCTGGTGCAATCACAGCAGCACTAGCACTGGTCCTAGGCTTGTGTGAATAACAAATGAGTTATTCTCAATTCAAAGATCACTAGTAGCCTATGAATATCATTTACAATTTTTTTTCCGGTGGGAAGCATATGGAAAGAAATTTCTCCTCTTTAATATGCTTGCTTTTTTTTTTTTTTTTTTTTTTTTTTTTTATGGCAGACACTGGCCATTTGTAGGCTTTCACCACTTACTAAGGCTGGAATCGGTGGTGATTTTATTATGAAGGCACCTAATAGGTGGCCATCCATCCTTCCAGGATTCAAACTCAGGCTTTTTGGTATCACAGTAGACTTCCCTAACCACTGTACCATCTATGTTGCTATTAGCTGAAGCTTGTAATCATTATCAAGGGTAATTGCAACATAATAGGTTACTGTGCTCATTGGTATTCAGTTGCTAATATTTTAAAAGAAAGATTGTTTAGACATTGATGCATGAGTCATTTCTTAAACTGCTGAATGTTGATAGTCAGGGGATGATGAAAGCAAGAAATAATGATTTACAATGTTTGTGTCGGGTGTATGAATTATTCAGCAAATGTAAAATTTTGATTTGAGAAACAAAAAAAAAGGCAGCAATAGAGCTAAATTATTGATCATACAGATTTATACTAATAAATCATTGTTTATCAAATGCACAAATATGAAGCATGCAAAAAAAATTCTGAAAAAAAGAAAGGAAAGTTTGGTGATCCAGAGGTCTGGATTTTAGATCACTCTAGATATTGGACTTTTGAACTTTGTACAGTCGATACTTTTCTGATACGTCAGCCATTGTTCAAGAAGGAAAGAATCCTTTTCTGGTGTGCGGATACTTTAATTAAAGTCTTATGGAGTTTTAAAACATGAGCTTTCATTCTGCATGCTGCTATTCAAAAAGACAAATTTTTGTATGTGAGCACCTTTATACAAGTTGGCTATCACCACTATTATATAATGAATAATCTTTATGTATAAGATGTATCCTCCTTGCACTCTGAAAAAATAATGCCATTTAGATCTGCAGAATTTTGAATACGCATAGTCCTCCACCTAAACATGATCTACTCTAATCCTAAATTTTGAATTTCAAATTTACTTTTTATGTATTTCATATTTTGTGCAAATTTGAGGAATTTTTGATTAATAAGTCCAGCTGTTTAAAAGCAAGCCAAGGCAACACTATTCAAAATAAAACATTTTTATATTCATCAATACAGATTGTTGCCATTCAGAAAAATGCAATATAGTTATCTTTCAATCCACGTGTAAGCATGTTGACATTCAGTTAAGTGTTAATATATTAAATTTTAAAAATTTTCATGCTTTCTAGTCTGATTGACTTGCATAAAATTGATTTAAATCAAGAGATGTGTAATTAGAAACATTATATATTTTATTGAAATTATGCTAGTTGGACTTACTAAAATCATTATATGGTTTTTAATTTTTATGGTAATAATTTTAGGTGGCTGGCCACACAAGCAGTTGGGTGCTTGTGTTCCAGATGTATCCAGAACTCCAGATTTTTTACTTTTTCAAATCTGGATTTGATTGGAAAATTGTGATGCTCACTAACTTGGTGACTTTTTTTTTAATGTATGATGAGTGTCAAGATACTAACAGTCTTAATGGTCTGCAGCTTGCTGACATTTTTTAGTTTAGGAATTTGACTTCATGTTTGGCAAGTTCTTTACTTATTCAAGCATAGTGGAAGGGGTTAAAAATTTAAGTGCATTGTGGCTACGAGTTGATTATTGATTGACAGTTTTTTGACCAGTTGGGGAGGAGAGGTATTTAAACAGTGCAGTGGTTTGATTTGATTATTACCATTCTTCATTAAAGATTTTACACACAAATACTTGCGCTGGGCTATGAAAGAGATTTGTGAACATACTTCTACATTTTTTGCAGTTTTCTGAGGGAAGAAAAACTGGTGTATGAAAACGGATTTGATTACATTGAAATTATGGAAACAGCATGCATTATGTGAAAGAAAGCAACAAAATGATATGTTTGAATAATATTGGATCTGCAGAATGTTTGTAGGAGTCTGGAAAGAAGTCATCGGGATTTAACCAGTCATTTGAGTATTTGTGATTTTCTAATAGTTTGGAAGGTGTTTGGTTGAACTTATTACGAGTTAGTCACTCTTATTAGCCATCATCAAGCTGTGTCTACCTGTGTAAAAGATGCATCACAAAATTAAAGTAAGTTAATATCTGTACTATATTATCACTTAGTGTTCGTTTCCGCTAAACATTTTCCTGGAGCTGTAACCCTTCTGCACCAAACCAGCAATCTCTAAATTTCTGTTTTTTCTAAATTGTGCCAAATAGTTCTGTTTTAGCTAGCTTCCATAGATGCACTGCTAATATGGGTGATACCATAACAAAATGTAGAACATTTTTTTGCCATTAATAGCCTCTATGTGGTAAAGAATGCGAAATATTACATGGGATTACTTTCATAAAGAATTCATTGGCAATTCCTGTAAGCATTTTTAGCAGCATTCCAGTTTGTACTTGCCAAGAGTCAAAATAAATTCTGAACTATTAAAAGACATTAATAGACTTAGGAATGTAATAAAATTTTCAGAAGAATGTGTTATTGAATTTTAATTATACATTCTTAAAAATGTTATCCATCTAATTTGTCAAAAACTTCATTGTGATTGGTTTGGAACTGTCAGTTTTTGGAATTAAACAAATAGACACACAAATGAGATTATTTAAAGCATGCAAAATCACTGTTGTTAGCTCCTCACTCCTGTGTACATAATTTTATCAGGAAATTGTTATACATAATGTCTTTTTAACATTTGATTTTACCATAAGATGAGCATTAAAAAAATAAATAAATTGGACAGTTTTTGTAAAATTGTCAGAGACAAAATTATGTACTGAAAAAAATTAATTTGACAGCATTTAGAATTTAACTAGATAACCTACTATTTTTTATTTATTGTCTCAATAAAATTTTAAGCAAGTTCTTAGCTAAAATGTTTCATTTATCACAGTTTGGCATTTAGAGGCTGTTCGTTCAGTATGATAGAGTGGGTAAATGTCGTGCTTTACAGTTTTACACATGTAATATATACTGATGAGTATACTTTTCAATTGCAACGGGATGTGTTTTCGGCCACTACAAATACTTATGTCTGACAGTTTCTCCTGATAACCTAATTCAACTTATTTATCACTGGAAATTAAAGATGAAATTCAAATAGCATCAACAATAAAATGATTTTAAAGGAAAGTTATAATTTCAAGAAATACTACTTTAAATATCAAAATGTTTTATTTATATTTTATTTTTTAACTGTCATTTATCATTCAAGACATTAGACTTAACCTTCTAATTTTTCCGTTATGCAGTTATGAAGAATTATTTCACTTGGGAGTTCACAATCAACTTTTTGGTATAAGACGGGATCTGCGGGCATAGTAAGTTTGGAAACCATTGATTTAGACAGACACGGAAACGCTATTTTCTTTCTCTGCTGGCCAACCCGGGTAGTTATTAGCGACGCCAACTGTCGTGCCAAAGGGCTCAAATTCTAATCCCGGAGAAGGCATGGATGTTTGTAAATGTATAGTGTCTGTGCGGCATGGGGGCACTCTAAATATACAGCAAGCCTAAAGTTCTCTCAAGAGGTTGGTGGTATGTGAAGAGGGGTGGAAGACCCTCGAACACATATCCTGGGGTGGTGTTCGTGGAACTGAGCAAAGTCGTACTGTCACCTGTATGGTGTTCAAGGCTGTTGCAAACAACAGGCGCAATCTTACACTCCTTGCCATGAAGAATTTCATGGGCTTGTTCTGATGTTACTGTCAAACA